TCAGGGAAATGCAAATTAAAACCCCAATGAGATATCATGACATACCTATCAGGATGGGTAACACACAACACCAAATGCTGGTGAGGATGCAGAGAAACTGTATCACCTACACATTGTTGATGGGGCTGTGAAATGGCACATCTACTTTGGAAAAGAGCAGAAGTTTTTCAAAAAATAAAACATGCAACTACCATATGACCCAGCAACTGCACTCCAAGGCATTTACTCCAGAGAAATGAAGACATATGTTCACACAAAAATCTGAACATAAATGTCCATAGCAGGTTTATTTGTAATAGCCAAAATCTGAACCCAATCCTGATGTTCTTCATGAGTGGATGATTAAGCAAACAGTGGTACATCTATACCATGGCATACTACTCAGCAATAAAAAGATACAAATGACTGATTCACACAACAACCTGCATGAATCTTCAAAGAAGTATACTGAGTGAAAAAAGCTAATCCCAAGAGGCTACCTATGGCATAATGCCACTTACATATAACATTATTGAATGACAAAATTATAGAGATGGAGAACTGATTAATGGTTTGGAAGAGTTAAGGAGGAGGTGAGGTGGGAGGGAAGTAGGTGTGACTATAGAAGGGCATTTCGAGGAATTCTTGTGGTGATAGAAACCTTTTTGTTTTGTTTTTGGATGGAGTTTGGCTCTTGCTGCCCAGGCTGGAGTGCAATGGCGTGACCTTGGCTTACTGCAACCTCCACTTCCTGGGTTCAAGTGATTCTCCTGCCTCAGCCTCCTGAGTAGCTGGAATTACATGTGTGCACCATGATGCCTGGCTCATTTTTGTATTTATAGTAGAGACGGGGTTTCACCATGTTAGTCAGGATGGTCTTGAACTCCTAACCTTGAGATCCACCTGCCTCGGCCTCCCAAAGTGCTGGGATTACAAGTGTGAGCCACCGTGCCTGGCCAATAGAAACGTTTTATACAGTAGTTTGTCCTTACCCTGAGGGGATAATTTCCAAGGCCCATATGGATGCCCAAAACCTCACATTGTATCAAACTTTATATATATCCTGTTTTTTCCTATACATACCTATGATAATTTTTCTTTTTTGAGATGGAGTCTCACTCTGTTGCCCAGTCTGAAATGCAGTGGCACGATCTCAGCTCACTGCAACCTCTACCTCCTGGGTTCAAGTGATTCTTCTGGTCCAGCCTCCTGAGTACAGGAATTACAGGTACTCGTCAGCATGCTTGGATTATTTCTTTGTATATTTAATAGAGATGGGATTTCACCATGTTGGCCAGGCTTGTGTCAAACTCCTGACCTCAGGCTATCTGCTCACTTTGGTCTCCCAAAGTGCTGGGATTACAGGTGTGAGCCACCGTGCCCAGCCCATACCTATGATAAAGTTTAATTTACAAATTAGGCACATTAAGAGATTGACAACAATAATTAAGAATATAAAAGAACAATTATAATAATGTACTGTAATCAAAGGTATGAGAATGTGGCCAAACCATCTATAAACAAAGTTAAGACAAGTGAGAGACTGGAAGAATTGCAACATTTATAACCTACAGCCTGGGCTGGACATGGTGGCTCATGCCTGTAATCCTAGCACTTTGGGAGGACAAGGCAGTGGATCACTTGAGGTCAGAAGTTTGAGACCAGCCTGGCCAATATGATGAAGTCGAGTCTCTATTAAAAATACGAAAATTGGTTTTTGAAATTTTCAGAAAACAAACAAAATGAAACAAAACAAAAAACCAAAAATTAGCCAGGCATGGTGCCTATAATCCCACCTACTTTGGAGGCTGAGGCAGAAGAATTGCTTGAATCCAGGAAGCAGAGGTTGTAGTAGGCTGAGATCGCACCATGGCACTTCAGCTTGGGGACAAGAGTGAAATTCCATCACGAAACAAAACAAAACAAAACAAAACAAAACAAAACAAAACAAAACAAAACAACAACAAAAAAACCCTACAGAATATTCTTATTTAGAATATGTACAGAGTTTATGTGAATTCACAAGCAAAATATAAACAACCTGATAGAAAAATGGGCGAAGTCTATCAATAGGCAATTCATAGAAAAGTAATAAGAAACATATAAAAAGATTTTCAGGCAAGGTGTGGTGGCTCAGGCCTGTAATCCCAGCACTTAGGGAGGCTGAGGCAGACAAATCACTTGAGATCAGGAGTTCGAGACCAGCTTAGCCAACATGGTGAAACCCCGTCTCTATTAAAAATACAAAAAATAGCTAGGCATGGTGGTGTGCACCTGTAATCTCAGCTACTTAGGAGGCTGAGGCAGGAAAATAACTGGTTGCAGAGGTGGAGACAGAGGTTGCAGTTGAGATCATGCCATTGCACTCCAGCCTGGGTGACAGAGCAAGTCTCTATCTAAAAAAAAAAAAAAGATTTTGAAATTCACTTATCAGTTTTATGTACATTAAAACAAAAACAGAATATGCGATTTTCCACCTGTTAGACTGGCACAAATTAAAACTGATAATAACAAATCTTGGCAAGGATATAAGGGAGTGGGAACTCAAAAACACTAATGAGGAAGTATTCACTGGAATGGTCTTACTAGATATTTATTATACATATTAAATTCTAAAGCATATATGTCTTTTGACCCATTATTAAACTTCATTTAGAAATCAATGTTATCGTAGTAGTTGTGCATGTACTAAAGGGAATATACAGGAGGACTCTTTTCTCCTTTTTTTCTGTAAATGTCAAAAGAAATGGAAACGTTCATTCAATGTGAGAGAAGTAACATACGGTCATCATACATCCCTTCAATGAATACAACATACCCATAAAAACGAATGAGGTGGTCCTACACATACAGAGTTTAAAATAAAAATCTTTACGACAAGGGCAAAAAAGAAACAAGTTGTGGAACCATAATCCAGTGTGATCTATTTTATGTTTTTATGTGTATGTTTGTACAAGCATATGGATATAAATACATACGCAATTTTGTAAAAATGTTTGCCAAACTGGCCAGTAGTTATTGGAGGAAAAAAAGAGGTGACGTTGGGCCAGGTGGAAGGGGACTTTTCACATTTTGTTCTGTATCCTCCTGTATCGTTTAAGTTCTGTACAATCAGAATAAATAAAAACTTGCATGTTTTGTCACACACACACACACACACACACACACACACACACACACACGCATGCCACAGGCACGGGAAATAATAAAAGTGTCTGTTTCAGAAGATCTTTGCAAAGCCTACAGCCACTGCAGCAAATCCTCTCAGGCTTCTGAGAATGGCAGCCACCCTCATGGGAACGTTGATTGTCCCAAATGTTTGGTTTAATCAGTGCAATTAGCGGAACATCAATTAGGCTGGAAGGCTAAAAGGCTCTGAAGCCTTTTGATTTGCAAGGAGCCTTGTTCCTGCCTGCTGCTCTGTGTCACACTCTTCATCTTTTTTAAGTGGTTTATTGGTGACTCTGACTTGTCAACTTTTCCACTATTTCCCCAAACTGCATCTTCTCCTTTTCCTAGCTCACTGAGAAGTTCCACTGTGCCGAAGTCACTAAAGCCAGACACCTATGAGTTATCTATGTCCCCATTCTTATACCTGGTCAACCACTAAACCCCTGGAGCTGATCCCGAGAAGTTTCTCAAATCCGGCCACCTTGCTCCATCTCTACTGCAAGTACTTTACTGCCTCTCACCTGGAATTTAAATTTTGAACATCAGAAGAACCTTTAAGAGACAGTTTCTCTATGGCTCAGCCCTGCTTCCTGAAGTAAATTTTTCAGCTTTCCTCTGATTCTGTGAGTTGTTGTCTTGTATACAACCTTCATATCAACTCTTTTTTGGCTGAAGCTAGCCAGGTCATTTTTGGTGCTTTTGTCCAGAGAATTCCCAGTGAACCTTGCCCTTCCGAACCAGATAAAATCTTACTCATCCTTCAGGATCCAAGTCAAGTGTCAATTTACTCATTCATTCATTCACTCAACAGATATTTACTGAAAAATACCATGAGCTGGTGCTGTGCTAAGTGCTGAAGATTCTGACCATATGAACCCCTATCTCCAAATAAATAACTTTTAGGAGATCTCAGGTGCAGAAGTTAGTTGTATTCCTTTCTTCGTGGCACCCTGTCAGCATTGATCTGGTAATTGATTAATCACCTCATATCCATATTCCCTATCCTCCTCCCCCGACAAGTAACCATATTAATTGGTTTGATATGTATTCAAATATATTCTTGTGAAATGCATACTGTAGTTTTGAGATTAAAATTCAAGTGTGGAAGCACAGAACCCAGTTAGGAGTCTGCTGCAATAATCCAGGGGACAGTTGATAGCAACTCAAATCACAGGTGTGTTGTTTCCATACAATGAACCCCTGCATTTAAATGAGAACAAAACCCAACAGAAAGTTGAAAAAAAAATACAACAGAAACCCCCAAACTAACAAACAACGTGAGAAACACATCGTTGATAAGGAGAGAGATGCAGAATAAAACAATAACAAGACATTGCATGTGCTATTCTGGTAATAATAAGAAAGCCGATCTCTATTCCAGAGAAAGTTCCACGCAGGATCCTAAGGGAATGTGTATGAAGATGTTCACTGCAGCCTTGTTTGTGGCCACAGGGTGGTGAAGACAGCCTGGATTACCATTACTGGGAGGATGAATGGGCAAAATGTGTTTCAGATTTGGGTAAGTACTTTTCATGCATTATCTCACCTTTTTTTCAAAACATCCCTAAGATAGTGGAACTTTCCATAGCATTCCCATTTTACAGACGACAAAACAAAACCTATCCTGTCCTACACACAAAGGCTGCTTGTCTTCTGGTACATTCGTCCTAGTTTTAGGACGAGGACACGGGGTTCAGGGCCTCAGCCCCACCCTGCCGTCTCAGAGAGGAGTCCTCCCTTCGGCCTTGGGCGACCTCGGGCCTGGGTCGCCAGCACCGCGGACAGCGCCAGGCGCGGGGCGGGGCGTCCATGGAGACGTCAAGACGCGCGGAGTCTCTGGGGCGCGCGCCCGTGGGCGGCTGTACCACGTGACCCAGGTAATTGGCACGGCGCGCGCGCTCCCCTTCCGCGCAGCCCCCTGACCTGCAGCCTCCGGACCTCGCCGCAGCGCGGACTCCGCCCGGTGAGCGCGGCGGCTCGCCCCCTCCCGGTCCCTGCGCTGCCGCTCCTCCCGCCGTCCTGGGGACCGGCCCCCGGCTCCTCTCTCCTGGGTCCTGGGGCGCCGCTGCCCGCAGCCCGGAGCCTGGCCCCGCCGGGGGGAGGGGGAGGGGGAAGAGACCGTGACCTTGGCTCTGCCCTTGCTGGCCGCGGCCTCCCCTGGGACCCCCAGCCCTTAGTGCGTCGGACCCGGCCAGTGCAGGGTCCTGCGCAGAAGAGCGGGCGCTTGTAGTGGGTTTCTCCAGCTCGAGGACTGCAGACTGCCCCGCGCCTTCTGTGGCCAGGGGAGGTCCCAGGGCCACGAGAGCCGCGCCGGTGATGGGGAGGGTCAGCTCTGTGCTCTTGGTGGGACCCTCAGGCAGCTTCGAAGTCTCAAGACTTCCAAGGAACCTAATAGACGTTTTTAACCGCAGTCTCCGATCACAGATAAGAAAACTGAGGCCCGAGAGGGGGCGGCATGGCCTGAGGTCGCTGCTAGCATGGGAAGTGCTTTTTCCATCCCCAGGGAGATGTGGGAGGGGGACGGGGTAATCGCGAGGCCACAGCAGGCTGCAGTATGCATCTGCCGAACCGGAAAGACCCCTCTGACGCCTCAGCCACCTGGCTCAAGCAGGCCCTAACAGTCCCTCCCCAGTGTCTTGAAACAGGCCCCATCTGCTTCTGTACTTTTTCCGCTTCTGGGCTTTAGTCCAGGCCCTTCATCTCTTCCAGGTAAAGGAGCACACCCCTTCGGTGTCCTGCCCCTGCCTCGGACCGTGGCCTGTCTTCCCTTCTCTCTGGTTTGGCAAACTAGAGTTGCGGTTTGTTAATGAGCAAAGCGCATCCGATTCTCAGAAAGTGGGGTCTGAGTAGACCTGCTGCTTTCAGAATCCAGGCTCTCCTGCTGCCCAGCTGGGAGGACCCTCTGGGGAGAACCCTTCTGGCTTCGGTTTACTGATCTCTGCAATGGATGCATTAGGGAGTAGTCCTCACCAGGGCACCCCAGACAGGGTCATGTGTGGGAGTCTTAGTGTGAGGAGTTTTCTGGGGTTGGGTTGAGGTTCTGAGGTTGGGTTGGAGATGCTGTGTGACCTTGCCCTCAGCGAAGAGACTCCCGCCAAGAGATACCCAGGGCAACTCTGCTGGAGTCTGGACTGAGCAGGGGGATGCACAGGGACCCTGACTCTCCCTCCTTGCTATTGCCCTCGACTGTATAGGCAGGAACTAGCAGGGCTAGCTTGGGCTCTGGCTTTAGGTACTGAGCCCTCATGCCCTGCAGGGATGCAGGTGGGGGTGGGCGGCAGGTTGCTCTCTTGCCAGCCTGGGTCAAGGCCACAGCAGTGCCCAGTGGCCGACCCAGACTGTTAAATGTTTATAAAACACAGTGTTCCTGCACCAGGACATTCTGGACACAGCCGGACTTTGTCCCTATCTGGCCTAAACTGCTCCATTCCCCTGTGGGGTTGGGTAGGAGTGGGGCTGGCAGAGGAAGCAGCTCTGGCTCAGCTGATGGGAAGTGCATCTCTAAGAGAAGTCTGGCTTACATCCTGACTGCAGTGAACAGGGCACAGTCCCTGGAACCCACACACAGCCCCATCACTCACCAGCTTAGCCAGCTTCTTGTACCTCAGTTTATAAAGTGGAACTGATGTGAGTGCCCACCTCATGGGATGTTGAGAGGATTAAATGAGCACAGTATCTGTCCCAGAATCAGTGCTCCTGATGGTGCCTATTATGTTTATTCCCATGATGATGGTCTTGGTATTTGGTTTCCTTTGCCATAGACTGGGGATAATGAAGCATCCTGGGTTGTTGGATTCTTTCTGATGCCCCAGAAGATTCTGCCTGATGCTTTAGGAGCTCCTGGGCCCAGTGGCCAGCTGGGCTGGCACAGTCTTCTTTTTGCCCAGGCCTTTGGGATGGTCAGAGGTGGAACAGGAGTTGGAGTTGGGACCCCAGAGCTCATGACTGGTACTTGGAGAGGTGATGCTCCGGGGGGAGTCTGCTCCAAGCGCCCTGCACTGGCACTGTAGAGCTTGGCATCAGTGGCTGGTGGGCTGGGCCACATGGCCGGAAGCCTCAGGGGCTGAGCCTGTGGGAGGGAAGCTTGGGGAGCTCAGAGGCTGCCAAGCCCACCTCCTTCCTCCCAGCAGTGGAACCTTTTTTGTTTTGTAAATTTTCTCTATTCAGGCTTGCTGCTGGTTGCCCCAGGAGCCTGTCCTTCCTCCATGGAGGTGACACCACCCCTTTCCTCTGGCTCAAGTGAGTTAGAAGGAGGGCCGTGCCCTGCCTTCTGGTGGGGCCTGACCTTTAGTGGAAAGTCTAGCCAGTGAATTCCTGGTGACGTGGCTGAGCTGATGGCAGGGGTGAGGCAGAAGAGTGCAACAGGTGGCCTGTTGGCTGAGCACACCTGACTGGCCTGGGCAGTACTTGGGAACCAGTTTTACCCCAGAATGCATATTTTCTGGGGCCCGAACTGTCCAGGGGTAGCAGACTCCTCCTGCACAATCTCTGGTGAGGTGGTTCTTGTACCCAGCTTACAAGCTGGGCTTTCTGGGCAGGAGGGCATTAGCTGGTGTTCACAGGGAGCTACTCTATAGCTGTGCTGGGGCAGAGGAGGGGTTTCTGCTCACAGTTGTAGGGTGGGGGAACAGAGGTCCCACTTTACACATCCTGTGTAGGATGAGGTGGCAGGGGCATGGGGTGATTTGGGACTTCAGTGGGCCCTATCAACCCCTAACCTGCCCGGATAGCGGGGTCTGGGGATCTAGCCTCTCCAGGATTGGCAGAGGCTCTTAGAACCCTTACCCTCTGAGAAATGGAGAAAGCCCCCATCACTGAAAGTCCAGGATTTAGGTATTTTCCCTGGGAAGGTACAGGTGACCGAGTGGGGTGAGATGAGCTGCAGGTCCTGGTTCCCCCTGGCCTGGGTGGGCTTCCAGTCTGTACCTCCCTGGGCTGTTAACTGTCTTGAGTGGCACTGGTCCTGGGTGTAAGTTCTCAGGGTGTCCAGAGTATGAGAGCCAGGGAAGGCAGCTCCAGTCCAAGGGCTGGGCTGGGCCTGGGGCTGCCTTCCATTCTACTCTTCCTGCTTCTCCAGACCTTAGCCCTTCCTGCAGTGAAGGGGGGGCATTGTTGGAGCTGGTATCACCAGTCTTCTGGCTGGGCCTGGGAGGGAGGGCACTCTGGGCCAGTATTGTAGTCACAGGGAGTCACTGGTCACTTTTGGTCACAATGACTAGAGCCACAGGCCGCCTGAGATAGTGTGTCTCTGTCACCCCCCAACACCTGTGCTCACCGGATACTTTTGTCCTTGCTTTTCCCTGACCGTGCCTGGCATACCCAGCCCCTGGAGGACTCCCTGCCCTGGTTCTAGGGTGGTGGGCCTGTGACCCACTCCTTCTTGGGCGTACTCCCTGCACCTGCCTTGTGGCTCTGAGTGGGCTCCAGGACCTAAGCTGGGTGCTAGAGGGTCCCAACCAGGTTCGTCCAGGACCTCGGCTGGGTGCTCCCTGAGGCAGGGCCTGGGCAGTTCGTGTCTCTGCACAGGCCTTAGGACCTATTAGGGAAGGAATGTGCTCTGGGGCGAGTGAGGCACCGCAGGGCTGGGGCTCAGGGCTGTTTAATATCTATTGATGGAGTTTACTGGGCCAGGGGCTCCCACAGGGGGCTGGCAGAGTGTCGCATTCCCACTGTCTCATCACTGCCTATCCTAGCACAATCTGCCCAGTGGGATTGATGAGGCTAATGAGTGGACAGTGGCTTGGTAGAGCCTCTTCCGGTCCTGGTCCTGTCATTTATGCCTGTCTTTCATTGTCTATGTCCAGAATGAGTCAGCTGAGGCTGCTGCCATCCCGTCTTGGGGCACAGGCCGCGAGGCTCCTGGCTGCACACGATGTCCCGGTGTTTGGCTGGCGCAGCAGGTCCTCTGGGCCACCAGCCGCCTTCCCAAGCAGCAAAGGTGGAGGTGGCTCCAGTTACATGGAGGAGATGTACTTCGCCTGGCTGGAAAACCCCCAGAGTGTCCACAAGGTCAGCACCCCCACCCTGCCCTGGGCCACTGCAAGGGAGGGAAGTCCCAGGGCCGGGTTGTGGTGGGGCAGCCGGGAGAAGCAGCTTGCCTGCTCTGTGACCCTGGGCAGGTTTCTTTACCTCTCCGGTCCTCAGTCATCAAAGCCTGTTGCTTTCCCGTTGCTGAACCAGCCAGTGGGTGATGGTCTTGATTGAGAGGCCCTGGCCATGCCCTGCTCAGCCACACCTGAGCCCTGCCGTGTTCCTTTGTGCTGCTCTACTGTCTCCATATGGCCCCTTTTATGTAATTAGGGATATATGTGTTTATGTATGTATTGAGCTAATAAGCACTTGCTGATGGTAAGGAAAAAAATGAAATCAGATGAGACGGTGAAAAGTGAAGTTGCTCTCTGATCCCTTCACTTGAAGTGGAAAGCAGTGCAGTCACATGATCCAAAACCAGAAGGTATAAGAAGTTACAGTCAGAAAGCTCCTTCCTAATCTATCCCCATCTGGTCATTTCCCACTGTCCCCCAACTTAGTGTCATCTATATCCTTTCTGAGACTTGCCTTAGGTAAACTTACGACAAATGTTAACTCTGGATTTGTCTCCCTTTATGCAAAAAAGTAACCTGTAACACATACTGTTTTGCTCCTTGCTGTTTCACTTGGCGATGTATCTCCAAGGTCTTTCCACGTCAGTACATAAAGAGTCTCATTGTTCGCCCTGTCCAGCTGTGTAGTATTCCATTGCATATGTGTGTGCCACCCCCATTCCTGCTGACGGACATCTGGTTCACTTCTAGTCTCTGGCTGTGGTGAACACTGCTGCAGTGCGTCATCTTAGACCTTCATCATCTTGCACCTGCACAGTCATCTATAGGATAAATTCCCCAGAGTGGAATAATTGGGTCCAGGAGTGGCTGTGTGTGTAATTTTGATGGGTATTGCCAAATTGCTTTCTATTAGGACTGTACCAACTGAGTCTCCCACCAGTGCTGTATGGGAGTGCATGGAGAAAAGCGCTTTTGCAATGTTCTTCTGGAAAACACATGCAAGGGCCTGGGTGTGTGCACATCTGCTTTTTGCTTCTACACAGGGAATAGCAGCCATACATCCTCTTCTACTTTGTTCACATTAAAGCGTATCTTGGCAATATTCCATATCCACAATATCAAATGCACCTTTTTTTAAAAAGACTGTAATCTTCCAGATTCTAAATGTAAAATCATCATTTAGCCAGTATTCTACTGAGAGCCATGTAGGTTGTTTTCACATTGTCGTTTTTATAAACAGTTCTGCAGGGAACATCCTTGTGTGTACATCAGGCACCCTGGGAAGGCCCCGAGAGGTGTGGTCCCCAAGGAAGACCTGACACTCCCTGGGGCCCCAGCCTGGGCCACCCCTGACTCTTCCCAGGCCCTGACCTGACTGTGTTCTTACTTCTGCCCTGCCCAGTCCTGGGACAGCTTCTTCCGGAAAGCCAGCGAAGAAGCCTCTTCTGGCTCTGCTCAGCCACAGCCCACTTCTGCTCCCACCCGTGAGAGCAGGTCTGTAGTCTCAAGCCGGACCAAGACCAGCAAGTTGGTGGAGGACCACCTGGCCGTGCAGTCCCTGATCCGGGCCTACCAGGTGAGGGGCAGCTGAGGCACAGGCTGGGAGGCTGCACTCGCTTTTGGGGTGTGGCCAGGCACTGAGGGAAGGGGTCTCAGCTCCAAAATCATCTCTCTAGAGAGACCTTCTCCTGGTCCTTTACTGAGTGACATCCACTCCTGTAGCCAGTCTTTGCCACATCACCATTCAGAGCACTTCCCACCTGCTTGAAATTTTTTTTGTGCAAACTGACTTGTGTGCTTGTGGTCTGTCCCCTTGCACACACCATGCCTCGAATACGTGGAGGAACACTTAGTAAGGGATCAGTTCCAGAGCCTGTTGAATGAGGGATGAACAGATTAACCCTTGTTCATTCTGTTTTCTCCTCTAGAATGGGCATCCCAAGAGAACAGGGACTGATACAGCAGGTGCCTAATTCATGTTTATGGAATGAATGGTTCAGTAAACAATTCTCCACCAGCAGTTGCTCCTCCTGGAGACAAGCTCTCCAAGGCTGGGCCCCTGCTCTTTCAGAGTCCCCGTGACTGTCTGTGCTTTTATTGTTGACTGAACAGGACTAATTGGAGGACTGCTCTGGCGTTCAGGCCATAACAAGTATAATCATTTGGAATATCTCTGGGAACTGGTGGCAGGAGGTATTCCGTCAGGGAAATGTGAGGCAGCGGCAAGCCACTGCAAGGCCAGGGTAGAGGGGGGCATTAGCAAATGGAAATGATGCTTTGCCTCTGAATGAGGTGCCCAGTGTGTGGGATGGAACCGAGTTCCCTATACACCAGCCACCGGGGATGGAAAGGGAAGGTGAGCAGGGTTGGGCTCCCTTGCTGGCCTGAGGACCCATCAATGGTGGGCCACCTGGGAGTAAACAGAACCTAGTTGTATTGTGTCTTTCCTGGCTGGCTAAAAGAAGCAGACAGTGATCTCACCCTTGACTTCAAAAATGAAGAACAGGATGCAAAACTGTATTAAATACAGGGAAACCTTCAAGGTGCTGATTGAGGGACTTATCTTGTAAGCACAGGTCTCAGCCTTTCAGCAGCTCTTTGTTCTTTGATTAACCAAGAGGAGGCATTCATTAGAGAGTTTTCCTGGCAGGGTGGCCTCTGGATTCAGGTGTGTTACTCTTGTGCCTGGTGTGGATAAGCACCAGGAGGGCTGTGGCCTCTTATAGGCCAGTAGCAGGCACAGCTCTGGTTAGCATCACCTGCACACTGTACTGAAAAAAAAAACCCACTGTATTATGGGCATTTTCAAACCCATAAAAGGCAGAAGGAGCTGGATGTGGTGGCTCACGCCTGTAATCCCAGCACTTTGGGAGGCTGAGAGGGGTGGATCACGAGGTCAGGAGTTCAAGACTAGCCTGGCCAAGGTGGTGAAACCCTGTCTCTACTAAAAATACGAAAAAAATTAGCCAGGCGGGGTGGTGCGTGCCTGTAATCTCAGCTACTCAGGAGGCTGAGGCAGGGAATTGCTTGAACCTGGGAGGCGGAGGTTGCAGCGAGCTGAAATTGTGCCACTTCACTCCAGCCTGGGTAACAGAGCGAGACTCAAAAAAAAAAGGGGGGGTTGGGCAGAAGGATGGTGTAGTGAGCCTACCACCCATCAGTCATGGCCAGTCTTGTTTCATCAGTTTCCCCCTTAGCCCCCGCTCACTGCTGGATTATTTTGAGGCAGATCCCAGATATACCATTTCATTCATTGAACATTTCAGTATGTATGTCTAGGGAAAGGGCTCTTTAAAAAATGTGCCATGATAGCATTATCACATCTAAACATAATAATAATGCTTAATATCAAATATGCAGTTGATATTTGTGTTTGCCTTTTGTCCTGTGGTTTCTTTTTTTTCTTTTTTTCTTTTTTTGAGATGGAGTTTAACTCTATGGCTCAGGCTGGAGTGCATGGTGCGATCTTGGCTCACTGCAACCTCTGCCCTCTGGGTTTAAGTGATTCTCCTGCCTTAGCCTCCCACATAACTGGGATTACAGGCATGTGCCCCCACGCCCAGCTAATTTTTGTATTTTTGGTGGAGAGGAGGTTTCACCTTGTTGGTGGGGCTGGTCTTGGACTCCTCATCTTAAGTGATCTGCCCTCCTTGGCCTCCCAAAGTGCTGGGATTACAGGCATGACCACGCCCAGCCTGTGCTTTCTTTTTACTGATTGTTTGAAGCAGGATCCAGCTAAATCCACAGGTTGTAATAGGCTAATGTGGCTCTTATGTCTCTTGTACTCTGCAGGTTCCTCTCTGTTTCTTTTAATGATGTGGAAAAATCAGGTTGTTGGTCCTGTAGGGTTTTCCCGAGTCTGGATTTTGCTGATGGCTTCCTCATGATGTCATTTCATCCATCCCATTGTCCCATGTGATTTCTGTCCTTTGACAATTAGATCTGGAGGCTCAATCCCACAGAGATTTTTTTTTTTTTTTCAAAATCAGTTTCCTGGTGGTGATGGTGATGGCACTTGAGCAGTTTGCAACTGTGGATAGTGATTTCCTAGATCCATTAACTCACTAGGGGTTGCAGAAATGGTGATATGCCAATTCTGTTTTCCCTTCTTTATTACCTGAAGTCTTGCTGTCAGGAGAAACCTTTGTTAACTCTTTATCCTGAGGTGGAGTTTGTGTAGGAAAGACAGAATCACTGCTTGTTTTTTTTCTTTTATTCACTGATTTTCAAAATTATGAGGTGATTCCCCAGCACACTCCAAAAGTGTCTAGTGAAGGTTTATCTTCCTTTTCTTGGATTAATATGAATACATGAGTGTAAACATATTTGATGAGTTTTCAATCTGCTGTAGATATACTGTCTTTACAGTTGCTCAAAACCTGTTCTTATTCCTAGCACCAGCGGTGTTTGAACACTCCCTTGATGTCAGTATAGCAAGATGCTCCAAGCTCAGCTTGTACATTTCTGCCTATTCCAGAACTGCCCAGGTCTCTGGCTATTTCCTGCTATTGGTTTGATTATCACTTCTGGGCCCTTTCAGGAATCAGAGCCAGGAAAGGGTTTACGATGCTTCTAACATGCTGCAAATGACAGACTCGGGGTTTGTCCTTGACCCCATCAATCTTATGGCACCATTGCCTTTTAGAGATTCCAAAAATAGAGGTTCTTAAAGGTGCCAGTAGAATGGCTTGTTTGATTTCCCACAGCCCACATGCAACAGTCTTGGAATAACAATTCTAACACTATTACTACCGACTGGTAATAGCAAAGACTATATGTATCTTTTTCTGCAGTTCTGTTTGTCTTTAGGGAATATTCCGTTAGTCAATTAGAATAGTTCCTCTCTGTGTACTTATGCCACTAAGTGGACATACTTATTCATTTGATTCATTTCACTTTCAGTTTTTAAGACTTAATTTTGCTTTATATTAATGTAAAATATTTACAAGGTTTAAAAGTCAAATCCTCAAAGCAAGATATGTGCTTAAAAATCTGGCTTCTAGCCCTGCCTGTATATCCTATTTTGTCCCCTCCCCTAGATGATAATTTTTCTTACATTTTTCTGTTTTATGATTTGCTCTTCTAATGCACATATTTATCTGTGTCTCCTCTTTCTTAGATAATGGGTAGTTCACCATACACACTTTTCCAGAATTTGCTTTTTTGCTTAACAGTATTTTTTGAAGAGTCCCTTGTAGTGTCAGACAGGGATTTTCCTCATTCCTTTCAGTGACCCTGGAGTGCTCCCGTGTGGATTGCCCATATCCGTGTGCCAATCTCCTGCTAATGGACAGTGGGGAGGCTTCTAGAATTTCACTATTACCAATGGCACCGCAGGGAACACCTGTGTGCATAGGTCCTTTTCTGTTTTTGCCAGGTGCATGTTGTACTTCTAAACCAGCCTGGGCTCCTGCCACCTTTCTGGCTGTGGCTGGGTCTTGTTGGCAGTAGTGCAGTGACTGCAGGTTGGAGACATAAGGAAGCTTGACATTTGGAAGTGGGGAGAGAGGGGCTGGGGCCCAAAACCTCACTCTGGAGGAAGTCTGTCCAGCTGGGTCCCAGCCCTGCCCTGCTCTTTTCCCTGCTCCCAGATCCGGGGTCACCACGTGGCCCAGCTGGACCCCCTGGGCATTCTGGATGCAGACCTGGACTCCTTTGTGCCCTCAGACTTGATCACAACCATTGATAAACTGGGTAAGACTGAGGACCCTTCCTCGGGATGGCCATGGCAGTGCTGTGTAGGTGACCCGGGAAGGGGCTCACGGGGCCTGGGGACAGCTTGATCTTCAGGAATCCATAGGGCCCAGAGAGCAGCCCACAGGGCCCCCTTTCCACTTGCCCATGTACTGCCTGTTGTCCCTGAGAAGGATGCCTGCCACCTGCCCTAGCTAGTGCCCCAATGTGATCAAGGCTGAGAGGCCTGTCCACCCTGCCACCCTGGGGTGACTCTCACCCCGCTCCCCAGGCTGGACCCAGAGGGAGAGTACTGGGGAGACTGGGAGGTCTGGGGAAACTGGGGGTCTCCACCTGGGCCTGACCTCCTTCCCTCCACTCTACTGCCCGGGGCTTGGCCACGCTTCCTTCTCCAGCCTTCTATGACCTGCAGGAGACTGACCTCGACAAGGAGTTCCAGCTGCCCATGACCACCTTCATCGGGGGATCTGAAAACACTCTCTCTCTGCGGGAGATCATTCGGCGCCTGGAGGTGAGCACAGGCGGGTGTGTGGGGCGCAGCTGAAGCAGCTCTCAGGAGCTTGCCAGGGGGTGGGAAGGCACTGTCTTTTTTTGTTCCAGACAGGAGGGATATCAGCTATCCCTCTTCCCGCTCTTCATGGGGTCCCAATGTGTCTCCCCAGAACACCTACTGCCAGCACATTGGCCTGGAGTTCATGTTCATCAATGATGTGGAGCAGTGTCAGTGGATCCGGCAGAAGTTTGAGACCCCTGGTGTGATGCAGTTCTCCAGCGAGGAGAAGCGGACGCTGCTGGCCCGGCTGGTGCGCTCCATGAGGTTGGTAGCACCCCGAGGGCTGAGTGGTGGGGGGTCATGTTCCAGGGCTCTATGAGACGTCCCAGGCCCTGGCTAAAAGAGCAGGACTGTGCCACATGAAGGCGGGACTGGATCGGCCTCACCCCTGGTCGCAGGGATGAAAGTTGGGACCAGGTATGCAGGCAGTTTGGCCAAGAGCTGGCTCAAGGCAAAAGCAGGTCAGGTAGGCAGGGATGAGGCTCTAGGACAGGCGTCCCCAAACTATGGCCCGTGGGCTGCATGCAGCCCCCTGAGGCCATTTATCCGGCCCCCTGCCGCACTTCAGGAAGGGGCACCTCTTTCATTGGTGGTCAATGAGAGGAGCACAGTATGTGGCGGCCCTCCAACGGTCTAAGGACAGTGAACTGGCCCCCTGTATAAAAAGTCTGGGGACGCCTGCTCTAGGAGAACATGATGGCAGGGACACTGAGCCAGGTCAGAAGTGGTGGGAAGTGGCTGTGGGAATGTTTGGACAGAAAGTTGTCCCTGGTGTGGAGTGAGTGGGGCAGCACCACCTGTCAGCCTCCTGGACTTTTCTGAAGCTGGGTCCTCCAGGGCTACAGGGGTTTGGGAAGCACCTGACTCAGCTGCTGGATGCAAAGTAGATTCTTGAGCAGTGAGGTGTGGGCTGGGTTTGGATTTGGCTGGGTGGAGATCTTTGGGACTTGGCGAGAGAGCCCTTTGAGTGTGGCAGGAGGGTAGTGGGCTAGGAACAGGTGGGCGGTGGCCTGTTGGAGAAGTTTGGCTTGAGGAAGAGAGGGTGGTAGCCAGGAAGGGTGTAGGCAGAGGGCTTTGGTTCAGCTGGGAAGATTTCCAGCCTCCCCTAACCCTGTGTTCCTTGCTAGGTGGGACAGGTATGGTGTCCATGGTGGGCCCTGGACCATGTAGACGGAAGGAGACTTTATGGCTTCCTCTGTCCTGGGCATTCAGCTTTGAGCACTCAGGAACAGCCCCCGTGAGCCCCAGTCCCATCCCTCTCCATCCCTTTCCCTGTCCTCTCTCCCTCCTCTTCCCAAGCAGATTTGAAGACTTCCTGGCCCGGAAGTGGTCCTCAGAGAAGCGATTTGGCCTGGAGGGCTGTGAAGTGATGATTCCTGCCCTCAAGACCGTCATCGACAAATCCAGCGAAATGGGAATCGAGAATGTCATCTTGGGGATGCCACACAGGTGGGCCCTCTTTCCCCTCGGCACCCTGGCCATTCTCCTCCGGCCCAGGGGACGGAGGTGGGAGGAAGGAGATGGAAATCAGAGCAGGGGTGTTGGTGGGACCTGGGGGTAGAGGTGGGTGGCCTAGAAAGTTCTGAGTCCCTGGGCCTGGCCTGCTCATCACAGAAATGGCCAGGCACTCGGCCAGAGTCACCCGGGGCGTGGGACTAACCAGGGTATCAGACGCCCTCTCTCCCTGGCCATGTCGCCACTGTCCCTAGCAAGGGTGAGATTTCAGAAAGGGACGTGTCGTGCTTCTTGAGGTTCCTGTGGATAAGAAGAGGTGGAGGGGTTTCTTTTAGGGAAGGGAGGGCAGGGCCTGGGTAAGTGGTCCCAGGTTGTGTCTCCTGGAGGGAGGTCTGTGGAGGCGAGCCGAGGGTCTCTGACCTGGCTGCAAGCTGACTGCCTGTTTCCTTTGACCTTGATGAAGACCTGGGAGGCTTGCTCAGCATTGTGGCATTACCTCTGAGCTGGAGCCTGTGGGGAAGCAGGAGGGCGACTGCAGCCTGGGGAGCAGACACCTCTGTGGCCAGGGGTCCTGATGAGTGGTCATGTGAGGGTGTGCGGAGCAGCCTGAGGGAAGGGCCCTGGGCCTTTCCTGTGACCAGAGAGTTGCTTGTGGTTGGGCGAGCCCAGGGCCACATCAGCAGGAGGGCATCCAAATACATGGTGCGAGGGTTCCCATTCGTAGCTGACCTGCCAAGAGCTTGGGGTTTGTCTGTCATAGAGGGCCTGGGAATGCCCGTGTCTGGTCAGAGAGTCAGGCAGAACTGGTCCAGAGGCCTGAGGCAGCAAGGACACATGGGGCTTCAGGCCTCGGGCTGTTAATGGCAGCAGGAAAGGATGGTGCCTGGTGACCGGGTGGCCTGAGGAGGGCTCTGGGCATGAAGGGGCTGTGCTAGGCCAAGCCAGGACTCCACAGTGGGGGAGGGGACCCTGAGGCCTGCAGGCTTTGCCAGGTGAGAGCCCGGCTCCTCTGGCTCCAGGGGCAGGCTGAACGTGCTGGCCAACGTGATCCGCAAGGACCTGGAGCAGATCTTCTGCCAGTTTGACCCCAAGCTGGAGGCGGCGGACGAGGTGGGTTTCATGTCCAGGTTCCAGCAGCCCTGGAGAGCTGGATATTTGGGAGGTGAACTGGGGAGGGTCTGGGTCAGGAGCTTCCAGGCTACGATAAACTTTGAGATGGATGCACGTGGAGAAGCCTGCAGGAGAGAGGCTGGGTGTTTGCCTGACGCCCCTAAGGCTTTCCCTCCGATAATCTGGATCTCCCTCCCTGTTTCGAGCTAGGGAAACTGAGGCCCAGTGGTGCAAAGGCTTGCTGGAAGTTGCTCAGCTCTGCTCCTGTGGCTGTGCCTCCGTGCCCAAAGTTCTGTCCACCATCCAGGAATGGCTCCCTTGCTCATTTGTTTTTACCCGGCTGAGCCTTGGGAAGTCGGGATGGTTTTCTGTGCCCATCAGCCTGCTGAGGAAATGTTCCTGCTCCTACCCCTCCCTGGGAGGCCTTCAGCCTAGACTGCCTGGCCTCTTTCTAAGTCCTGCCCATCTTCCCTTTTCATGGCTCTCTAGGTCCTCTGGGATGTGAGCCTGTCACTCCCTCCTGTGTCCCTTTGCCCTCAGGACTGTCTTTCCTGCTGTCTCCAGCCTGCTCTCTCTCTGGTGTGTGTCTGTGTGTGCACGCGTGCGTATGCATGCAAATGACTGTTCCAAGGTCATTGGCCTGTTGGGCCAGAGCAGTGATTAGGACCCACACCTGCTGGCTTCTAGCGCATGTCTTTCTGACATTCTGTTCCTTTTGTTCTAAGACCTTCACCTCTCTAAGCCTCAGTTTGCTCTTCTATAAAAGAGAGATAAAAGCGCATGCCCCAGAACGGTTGTGGTGAGTCAAAGATGACCTGTGTGTATACTGGAAAACTTAGCCAAAGTATATTTAAAATGAAATTACTATTTTTTTTTCAACTGAACAAGAAATTGATCATTGTAAAAACAACAAACAAAAAAAGGTTATAAAATGAGAATATGTTCCTCTGCAAGACTCCATTCTTGTGGCCAGTTTTGTTTGCATGGTTCTGTTGTGTTTAGGTGTGTACTTCTAGAAACATTTCATGCAGATACAAACACACCTCTTTGTCCAGTGCAGCCTTATTTGTAAGAGGCCATGGGCATAGCCGTGACGCCAGGTGGCACCTTGCTGTTTTCACTTAACAAGTTGTCATTGTTTCCTGCCTGCCCTTGTGGGTTGCCCCAAGCTTCTTACAGCTGAAGCATCCCTCATGCTGGACGTTAGGTTGTTCTAATGAGGGTCCTTGCACATGTGTGAATGAGTTTATCTGTTAAATGGTGTCTGAGCAGGGCAGCGGCTGGAGCTAAGGGGCTGGGACTGAATGAGCCTCCCAGGAGCTGGCAATGTCAGCGAGCCCATCCACGGTGGATGACAGTACTGGAGCCCCCACCCCACTTCCTCCCACATGCTCTCGAATCCTTTCATCTTTTCCAGTATGATGGGTGCACAACAGGATTTTGTTGTAGTATATTTCTTTGTTATGAATTCAGTTGCTTATCTTTTCACATGCTTTTCAGCCATTTGTGTTTTTCTGTAAATTCCCGCTCATGGCTTTTGCTCATTTTTTTGATGGAGTTTTTGGGCCTTATCTTCCTGATTTGTAGAAGCGTTTTGTACACTGAGGGGATTCACCCTTTGCCTGCATTTGTTTATGAATATTTTTCTCAGCTTGATTAGTTTCCCCTATCGTTGGGCAGGGTTTGCTCCCCCATGACACATTGCTTAGAATTTAGTAGGCTTTGGTGTTTTCTGGGCTTAGGATATTGTGTAGAATGCCATAAGTCTTCCCTACTTTGGGATCATAAAATGCTGTGTGTCCCTCATTGCTGCCGTTGGCATGAGGAGTCGGAGGATTCAGCTGCAGTGTTTGCTGGTGGCCTGGCCTGGGGGGGTCTCTGCGCTGACGCTTAGGCGCTGCCCTCTCTCCCTGCCTTCCCCGCTGCTGGATGACTTTCCCCGCTGCTGGGTGGCTTTCCCCACTGCTGGATGGCTTTCCCCGCTCTCATGCTCTCCTGCTTTGTGGTCAGTGTGCAGAGAGGCTCAGAGCTGAAGCTGGGGTCCCTGCTTTCCTCCCTCAGGCCAGTAAGGAGGGGTGGTGTGATGAGGAGAGAGGGGGTCAGGGACAGCTCGGCCCTCCAAGGCAGTGGGATCCGGGGAGCGTGCCAGCCTGACTGTGGGCTGCAATGCCTGCCTGTGTGTCTTCCTGTCTGGTGAGGGAGGGTCCATCATGTTCCCACCTTCACCTTCAGGGCTCCGGGGATGTCAAGTACCACCTGGGCATGTACCATGAGAGGATCAACCGTGTCACCAACAGGAACATCACTCTGTCACTGGTTGCCAACCCCTCCCACCTGGAGGCAGTGGACCCTGTGGTGCAGGGGAAGACAAAAGCAGAGCAGTTCTACCGTGGAGACGCCCAGGGCAAGAAGGTGAGCTCGCCTGCAGGAGCTCTGAGGACCTGGGCCCCGTGGGGCGAGATCAGAGGGCCGGGCCCTGGGTCTCCATAGCACAGGTGTGGAGCTGGGCTACATGAGCTGGGCATGCAGCCCCTCCTGGCTCACACCTGCCCTGCAGGTCATGTCCATCCTGGTTCACGGGGATGCAGCCTTTGCCGGCCAGGGCGTGGTGTATGAGACCTTCCATCTGAGTGACCTGCCCTCCTATACGACCAACGGCACCGTGCACATCGTCGTCAATAACCAGGTGAGGGTGTAGGCTCCATGCCGGGTCTCACAGCGTCAGCATCCCTGGAAATCCGTGTAGCAACTTGGAGGGAAGTGAGGTGGCCCTGGCTCTGAGCCCACTGCCATGCTGCTTACCAGTTGTGACCCCAGGCAGGACCCTGATCTCCTCAGCCTTGGCGCCCTGGTCTGTGAAATTAGGGGACACAAAAGGGAGGGATAGGCAGGGCTGGAAGGAGGAGCACTGGTGTAGGAAGTGCCTCATAGAGGCTGGCTGTGTGCTGTCCCGCATGGGCGATCTCAGACACAGGGGCCTTGGTGCCCTTTCTCTAAGGCAGCTGAGCTTCTAACAGCTCATTTGAGTCTAGAAAGCCCTGTGTTCACTGCCTTATTTGCATTAAGTCATGTCATCGTCCTTGAACATCCTGTGAGCTGGGAATTTGAGTGAGCCCTTTTTATAGATGAGGAAGCTGAGACTGCAGGAATGTAAGTGCCTTGCCCCAGATGGCAGTTAGCAGCTGTTGGGACTGGGATTTTCCAGGCCTGTGTTCCTCACTACCGGTGTGTCAAAGTGACTGGCAAAAAAGAGTAGGGTGCACCCGGCTGGTGTTTCTGCTGTTCCCGAGGGAGCTGCTGCTGTGTTTAATTGTGGGGCTGCTCGCCATCACCCTGTTGTGTCCCACATCCCTCCTGAGCACCTCAGTGGACCTTGAGGCATCCCCCTGCTCAGTCGCCGAGGCTGGCACCTTCTGTCTTATTCTGAGCAGACTGAGAGGTGCAGCAGGTTCCTCCTACCCCTACAGATTGGCTTCACCACGGACCCCCGGATGGCCCGCTCCTCACCATACCCCACTGACGTGGCCCGGGTGGTCAATGCACCCATCTTCCATGTGAATGCCGATGACCCAGAGGCTGTGATGTACGTGTGCAGCGTGGCTGCCGAGTGGAGAAACACCTTCAACAAAGACGTTGTTGTGGACCTGGTGGGTCTGGGGACTGAGGCCAGGGCATGAGTGGGTGGCCCATCCCCGCTGTGCTGAGACAGCCAGGTCTTCAGCGTCTTCAGCACTCAGGGCTGGGAGTGCTTCTTGGATGAGATATTTAGTGCCACCAGGAACAATCTGTGCAAAGGCCCGTAATGGGACATTCATTAGACGATAGGTGATAGTGGGGCTTGAAGGGGCCCCAGAGGGTGTGCCCTGCCTGACATTCCCCAGTTTTGCAGCAGCTACATTGACCACACAGTGTAGGGGAGGCCCGAGCCCCTCTGGCTACTCCTGCAGGTCTGTTACCGCCGGCGTGGCCACAACGAGATGGATGAGCCCATGTTCACCCAGCCACTCATGTACAAGCAGATCCACAGACAGGTGCCTGTGCTGAAGAAGTATGCAGACAAGCTTATTGCTGAGGGCACGGTCACCCTGCAGGAGTTTGAGGTAGGCAGGTAGGCTGCATGGGTGTCCAGGACAAACTTTGGGTGGGTACCCTGGGGAGGAATTGTAGATGTTACCAGCCCAGGGCTGGACACTAAGAATTTAAAGAAGTCGCCACTATGGTCCTTGTCCCCACGAGGGCCCTGTTACCAAAGGGGACCAGGAACTAAGGATACAATTACAGCCAGGTGGGACACAGTGGGTACTGCATGGTGGGGGAAGACCAGCCCTAAGCAAGGCTTCCTGTAGGAGGCAGCCCTGAGCTGGGGTTGTCCCCATAATTACGGAGTGTTGGTCCTTCCACCTTCAGGGAGCTCAGAGCAAGAACTACAAGCTTCTGGAGTCTTCCCCAAACCCCTTACTGAGTGCACTGCAGGCCTGCCCAGCCTCATGATACCTGTGCAGGATCCTCTGAACTCTGAGACTTTGGCTTCTAGCCACAGGTCCCTACAGGCCAGAGACAGAGAGTTCTAGAACTTAGTGATGGGGACCAGGACTTGTAAGTCCAGGTGGATTGGGCTTCTGGCTGCTCAGGGCTTTGCTGCTCTGTTCACATCTTTGTCCTGATTCCAGGAAGAAATTGCCAAATATGACCGGATCTGTGAGGAAGCTTATGGCAGGTCCAAAGATAAAAAGATCCTGCATATAAAGCACTGGCTGGACTCCCCCTGGCCCGGTGAGTGAGCGGTGTGTGGCTCAGAGGGACTCCCCTGAGCCTTGAGGTTTTGCACTGGGATTAGGACTAGAATGGCCCTGGGTAAGAGCTGTCATTGCCTACCCTGGAGGCTGTGGGCCCTGCCCTTGAGACCTCAAAGCTGTGTGGGGCCAATTCCTACCAGTTAAGGATACCAGTGCCCTCTGAATATGAATGGACAGGTGCTCACTGAAAGGGAGGACAGAGCCAGGTGGGAGAGGAAGCCCTGGGCACTGGATGCTTGGGACCAGGGGACCTCCCTGGGGGGCAGGGTTAGATGAGCTGTGATCCTGGGGCCCAGAGGCAGGGGTTGAGCCTGTGGGGGAGCTGCAGCTGTGGCTGTCCAGCTGTCCCAGATCCCAAGGGTGGACTCAGAGTGAGTCTGAGTGCTGGTGGAGTTTAGGAAGCCATGGGCACCTCAGTCCTGGGGAAGCAGGCTGGCCAGGGGGATCAGAGCCCACCACTGACCCAGTGGGGACGGAGCCTCTCTCCCTCTCAGGCTTCTTCAACGTAGATGGAGAGCCCAAGAGCATGACGTGCCCAGCCACAGGCATCTCTGAGGACGTGCTCACCCACATCGGCAGCGTGGCCAGCTCTGTGCCCCTGGAGGGCTTTAAGATACACACTGGTGAGGTTGCTGGGCAGGCTGCAGCCCGGTCTGCTGGCCCTGCCCCAATGTTGTGCCTTGAAGGGAGGTTGATTGGGACGTGAGGGAGACTGTGTGTCACGTCCCTGCTCAGTCTGCAGTGGGTCGGCATAGCTCTCCATGCCTGTTCGTGCCCCAGTGAGGTGCCCGTGACAGTAACTCTCAGGGTGGGCGTGGTCAGCTGGGCAGCTCCAGATGCCACACTGCTAGCTGGATAACAGTGACTAGTCTTAGATTGGGCACCTTGGATTTTCCAAATGCCTTTGTTGGAAGTCCCTGGAAAGTAAGGGCTCCCTATGGAGGTGCTGGAATGCAGCCTGGAATGTGGGCAGGATTCTTCAGCTGAAAGGACTTGCTGGGGCCTAGACCAATGACCAGGGGCAGCCCTATCAAGCTGGGGTGAGCCTGGGCTGTGGGTGGTCACCGATGGCACCCCTTGGCTGGGGCTACTGTGGCCTTTTCCTGGGAAGTCTGGAGGGTTCCCCGTGGCTGCATTGGGGCGCCTGTACACCCTCTGACCCACCTAGAGGAGTTCTGAGGGGGTTCCCTTACAGTATGCACCGAGAACGAGTGTCCTGGGGCAGTGGCTGACAGCGTCTGGAGCACGTGCCCTCTCTGTTCATGTGTCAGCCTCTGCGTGTAGGGCCGACAGGAGCACAGCATAGGCTGGGGGACATGGGTTCACATCCCAGCACCTGGACAGCTGTGTGATCCTGAGGAAGTGACTCCGTGTCTGACAGTGTCTGGCGCACAGCTGACACTCGTGAAATGGTACTTGCTCCCCCTCTCCATGGGCTCAGGGTGGCCCATTGTCTCGGCCAGAGGAGGGGTGCCTGACACCAGGCCTTCCCACAGCATCCCTGCCCTCTGGCCAAATCATCAGATGGCTGCCCTGCTTTGTGTGCAGAGTGTGCGCTGAGCACCTACGCACCCACCCCGGCGCTGGCTGTCCCGCGGCCCTCAGGCCAGCGCTTCCCTCCCGCAGGCCTCTCTCGCATTCTGCGGGGCCGGGCGGACATGATCAAGAACCGGACAGTGGACTGGGCGTTGGCAGAGTACATGGCCTTTGGCTCTCTGCTGAAGGAGGGTATCCACGTGCGGCTCAGTGGGCAGGATGTGGAGAGGGGCACATTCAGGTGAGTGCAGTCGGGCTCAGCATCTGCACAGGAGACCTGGAGCAGAAGCTGGGCCTGGCTCAGGGATCCTGAGGAGGGCCTTTGTCCGGGGAAGGGATGGGGGGAATCTTCACAGCATCTCTAGCCTCTGCCCTCTGACTGCATCATGAGATGGCCACCTCGCTGACCCCCCAGGGCAAGTGTGCAGAGCTCACTGCTGGGCCCAAGCTGTCCACTGAGGTCAAGCTTGTAGCCATCTGTGGTCCTCAGTATTGTGTGTGTATGTGTGTGTGTGTGGGGGGGTGATGAGTGTGAGGGAGTTGGGTGTGGTATGTATGTGTGGTGTGTGTGTGGTGTGTGGCGAGTGGAGGGAGTGTGTGGGGTCTGTGTATGGTACATGTGATGTGTTTGGCATGTATGTGGCACGTGTGTGTGTGGTGTGTTTGGTGTCTGTGGTGTGGGGTGCGTATGTGTGTGGTGTGTTTGTGTGTGGTGTGTGGTGTGTGTGATGTGTGTGTAGGTGTGTTTGTGGTATGTTTGGAGTGTGCATTTGGGGTGTGTGTGGTTTGTGTGGGGTGTGTATGTGTGGTGTGTGTATGGTATGTGTGGTGTGTGTGATATGTTTGGTGTGTGTGTGGTGTGGGGTGTGTTTGTGTGTGGTGTGTATGTGTGCGTAGGTGTGTTTGTGTGTGGTGTGTTTGGAGTGTGCATGTGGGGTGTGTGTGGGGTATGTGTGTGGGGTGTGTGGTGTGTGTGTGTGGGGGGTGTGGTATGTGGGGGGGATGTGTGTGGTGTGTGTGTGGTGTGAGTGGTGTCTATGTGGTGTGAGTGGGGGAATGTGTGGGGTGTGTATGTGGCATTTGTGTGTGGTGTGTGTGGTGTTTGGTATGTATGTGGTATCTGGTGTATGTGTTTGTGTCTATGTGGTATGTGTCATGTGTTGTGTGTGTTGTATGTGTGGGATGTGTATGTGTGTGGTGTGTGGGTGTGTGTGTGGTGTATGGTGTGTGTGATTGTGTGTGTAGGGGATGTGTGTGGTGTGTGTGGTATGTGTGGGTGTGTGTGGTGTGTAGTGTGTGGTGTGTGTGTGTGGTATCTGTGTGGTGTGTGTGGTGTGTGTGATGTGTGAGGTGTGTGGTATGTATGTGCGTATATGGTGTGTGTGGTATGTGTGTGGTATGTGTGTGGTATGTGTGGGTGTGTGAGGGATGTGGTATGTGTGGTGTGGTATATAGTATGTGGTGTGTGAGATGTGTGTGGTGTGTGGTGTGTGATATGGTGTGTGTGGTGTGTGATGTGTGTCGTGTGTGATATGTGTAGTGTGGTGTGTTGTGTGGTGTTTGTGGTTGTGTGATGTGTGTGTTGTGGGTTGTGTGGTGTGTGTGTGGCGGGTGTGTGTGTGTAGGGTGTGTATGGTGTGTGTGATGTGTGTGTGTGGTGTGTGTAGGGGGTGTGTATGTGTGTGGTGTGTGTGGGGTGTCTGTGTATGTTGTGTGGTATGTGTGGAGTATATGTGTGGTATCTACTGTGTATGGTGTATATGTGGTGTGTGGGGGTGGTGTGTGTCGTGTTTGGTGTGTATGGTGTGGTGTGATGTGTGTGTATATGTGTGGTGAGTGTGTGGTGTGTATGGTGTGTTTTGTATGTGTGAAGTGTGTGTGTGGTGTGGTATATGTGTGGGTGTGTGTGATGTGTGTGGTGTATTTGGTGTATAGTGTGTGATGTGTGTGTGATTTTGTGTAGTGTGTGTGGTGTGGTGTGTATAGTGTGTGTGGTGTATGTGGTATGTATTGTGTGTGTGTGGTGTGTAGTGTGTGTGGTGTGTTTGATGTATGTGTATGTGGTGTGTGTGTATGTATGTGTGTGGGTGGTGGTTGTGTGTAGTGTGGTGCATGGAGATGGGTATGTGTGTGTGGTATGTGTGTGTGGGGTGTGTGTGTGTGTGTGTGTGTGTGTGTGTGTGCATGTATGCTGCTGTTAAGCCTGCGCCTCTCTATCTTGCTTGTTTGCAGTTGACTTTGTGAATCCAGATGGGAACGTGACACTTGTCAGTTGTCCACCCCACATTTCCTCTGGTCTGGGCCCTATCTAAAATGTCCTAGATCCTGCCTCAGTCTGCTCCTGGTTAGCAAGTCAAAGTGGTATGGCTTCTGGGACTTGACCAGCTGGCTGTCTCATTCCTGGTTGCTCATCTCTGCTGGCCTTGCTCCAGCCAGTGCCCAGGTGACCCTCTGATACACCCTAAGCTGCATGTCAGTCCTTGCCAGGAATGGGTTCAGCTAGGTGCCCATCACTTACTGTGCCCACCTCAGCTACTACACAGTAGTTTCTGTGAGTTGGGACAGGGCTGGTGAGATGGTAAAGGAGCCAGCAAGATGAGGCAGGGGAAGTGGCCTTCTAGGGTCTCTGGCTCCAGCTAGCACCTGGGAAGTGTCTCATCAGGTCCCCTTTATGGGTGAGAAGCTGAGACTCAGGGAGGTGCCACAACTCAAAACTTCTTCCCCCAGATCCCCCAGTGCGTGGTGTGCGGGGGCTGCCAGCAGGCAGGGGGCAGGCTGGGGAGGCCTGGCGGGGGGCAGCCTGCAGGAGGGACCACGTGGTCCGGTTTTCCACAGCCTTCTTGGATACCATCCTGTGGGACCCTGCAGGTTTCCTGGGACAGTGATGGAGGCTTGCCTGCCTCCTGCTGCCCAGCTTCCCTGCTTCAGGTGAACGGGTGCCAGTCCACTTGCCCTCTGTCCCTGCCCCGGTCTGTGTCTCTGCAGTCACCGGCACCACGTTCTCCATGACCAGGAGGTTGACCGCAGGACGTGCGTGCCTATGAATCATCTCTGGCCCGACCAGGCCCCGTACACTGTGTGCAACAGCTCCCTCTCGGAGTACGGAGTCCTGGGTGGGTCCACGCTCCCCTGCACACCAGGCAGACCCAGGACACCTGGGGACCAGAAATGGGCTGGGAAGGGGCCGGGCCTAGGGCCTGGGAGGGGTCGAGAGATGCTCAGAGGCCCCCAGGGGATGGCCCTGGGGGATGATGATTGGGCTGCCCCCACCTAAGGCCATGTGGTAGGTGAGATCGTGTCCCACCTGGGTCCCTTGGGGATTCCAGCTGGGAGGCCTTGCTTGCTTTGAGGGGCCTCTGTGGGTATCAGAGCCCAATGGGCCTAGACAGAGAGCCCAACAGAGCCTGCCGTGGGTTCCTCTGAGCCCCATCTCACCTTCTTTGCCCTGCATACCAGGAACAAGATCCCTTCTCTGGGCTCTGGGCTTCCCTGCCTGTGTCTCCTGTGCATGTTCTCCCTCGGCTCCCTCGTTAGCTGGTTCACCTCGTCCTCACTGCCTGCCACCAGAGGCCAGGCAACCCCCCGCCCCAGGGAGATGCCTCTAGGGTTGTTTCTGCCCCTTCTTAGCAGCTCTGCATGTTTTTGAGGAGTTCCTCTTGGCAGATGGTCCCTGATGCCTCCCCAGAATACCTAAATAAGGCTGAACCTGACCACATTTGATGTCAGGGCTAAGGGTGGCATCTCTGGGCATGTTGTCAGCCCCCAGGATGGGACATTCCCTCCCCTTTAAATCCCAAGGAATCCTTGGGTTTGCCCTGGCTTGTGGGAAGGATGGGTGGGGGCAGGGAGGAAATACTGAGAAAAGGCTGAGTATAACTGGAGCCACTGCCACTTGGTGACAGTGTGCAGCAGGCTCTATCTTGTTTTCTGTTTAGGCTTTGAGCTGGGCTATGCCATGGCCAGCCCCAATGCCCTGGTCCTCTGGGAGGCCCAGTTTGGGGACTTCCACAACACAGCCCAGTGCATCATCGACCAGTTCATCAGCACTGGCCAGGCCAAGTGGGTGAGGCATAACGGCATTGTGCTGCTGCTGCCCCATGGCATGGAAGGCATGGTGAGGGCGTGGTGGTGGCTGGTGGCTTGGTGGGCTCTGGCGGGCCTTGGAGGGGTGGGATGGACCCTGGGTCTTTTGTTGAGTTGGATGGTATGTGCCTTTCAGGCCCCTGGACCATGTGGGTCTGTGCAGGGTGGGGTCTGCACATGCGTATGCTGCAGCTGCTGAGAAGAGGGTGCTACCTAACTAATCCTCTGCTGCTGCAGCAGAACGTGCTACCACGTATGATACTTGCTATGTGCCAGGCACTGTTCAATGCCTCTGAATGTTAACTCTTCCAATCCATACAACGTAATGAAGTAGGCACTGTTCCTGCTTTTCAGATGAGGAAACTGAGGCACAGAGGGGTGGAGAAGCTTGCCCAAGGTCTCAAAGCTGGGGGTTTCAAGCTATCCTGTGCAGTACTGCCTGTCCCTTGGTCCCCTCCTTTGCAACCTGCCTCTGCAGCCACACACGGGGCAGAGGGAAGACATATAGGCTGAGTGCATCCTCCGGAGTCTCCTGGGCTAGCAGGAGGGGAGGAAGGAGCAGGGTGTCATGTCATACCACTTGGGTGGACACGTGTCCTGACCAGGCAGAAGGGAGACAGGCAGGGGGCTCATCGCCACCATTATCCCCGAACGATGTGTTCAGTTCTGAGTGTTTTACAGGCTGTGTGCCTGGCATCCTCACAACACAGGGTCAGTGAGGAGGAAGGTGAGGCTTCCTGCCTGGGGCTGCCCACTGGGGCAGCTTCTTGGGCGGCGGGATCTGGGCCAGGCTGGGTGTGGGAACCTGGGTCCTTGGCCATCCCCAGCAAGAGTGGGCGGGTGGCACTATGGGATGGTCACCCCTGTCCTGTGGGGAGCCAGCTTGGAGATGCCCATGGGCTTGTCTTGCTGCTTTTATGGAGCAGAGTGGCCCGTGTGGGTGAAGATGGGTGAGGCCCAGGCTGAGTTGGGTCGCACCTACCTGGCTGCACGGTCATGAGTAGTTTCTTACCCTCTCCTTGCCTCTTCATCTGTGCAGTGGGGAAGAGTGTATGCGTCGTGGGGCTGCTTTGGGGATTAGCGAGTAAGGCGTGTGGGGGTCCTAGACTCTGCCTGCTCTGTAACAGGTGCTCAGTCAGTGGCAGCCACTGTTGCAGGATGTTCCAGAGAAAGCATGTCTCAGTGCAGGGTTTTTGCTTTTTCTTCCATCCCTGCAAGTTCACACGCTGTGCTAGCTCTGGGCGGACCCCACTCTGAGGATGCTTATTCTGCTCTTGTTTCACATTCTTGGTTCTTTTCTGTGGCTTAGGCTCCAGGGTGAGGGCATCTCTGCTGAGAAGCCCTTCAGACTCGACCCTGAGCCTGGGGTCCCTGCAGGGCCAGATGTCTGTCCCGCGGTGGGGCCAGCCTGGGCTGTCCGGTGTTTGCTTTTAGGGCCCGGAGCATTCGTCAGCGAGGCCTGAGAGGTTCCTGCAGATGAGCAATGACGACTCAGATGCCTACCCTGTGAGTGTTGCTGCTGTCCCCAGAACAGGGGCGTGCCCTATTGTGCTCGCAGGGCTGGGGGTCCAGGGTATGGGTGCACCAGACAGCCACCCTGGCCATACGCATCTCATCTCCACAGGCATTCACCAAGGACTTCGAGGTGAGCCAGCTCTATGACTGCAACTGGATCGTGGTCAACTGCTCCACGCCGGCCAACTACTTCCACGTGCTGCGCCGGCAGATCCTGCTGCCCTTCCGCAAGCCGGTGAGTTTCCATCCCAGGGCAGGGGACACACGCAGGGGCCCTGGCCAGGCAGGGCCAGCTGGCAGCTGGGCGTGTGTTTCCCTTCCAGCTGATTATCTTCACACCTAAATCTCTGCTGAGGCACCCAGAGGCCAAGTCCAGCTTTGACCAAATGGTATCCGGTACGTGCCTGGCCTGGGTGTGTGGGGTGGCCCACACTGGGGCGGTGGCCTGTGGCGTGGCTTCTGCTCCTGGGGCTCCTCCATCCTCCCCTCTGCCTGTGGCACTGCTGACCTGCAGCAGCTTCTGCCATGGTCCCACTAGAAATAGGGTTGGGAGGTTGGCACAGTGACTGACTTTGGCCAGCTCAGGTCCTGTGGGCTGAGTCCATGGTCAGATGAGTGCATTGGGGCCCCCTCAGGCCCCAGCAGGGCTGATCGAGGCCTGGCGGAGGCCTGCTGAGTTCACAGTACATTGAGTATCATTCAATCATTTGTCCATTTTTAAAATTCATGAACCAAACAGACATTACGGTCCTGGGGTCCTGGTATCCCCTCCAGGAGTCCTTGGCCTTATTGACCTGGGAGTCAGATCAGATAAAACACCTGTAGTTGCAATTGAGAGATGGCTATGTCCTGGGAAGGACAGGTGTGAGACCGGTGGAGCAGAGCTGTCTTGGTCCTGGGCAGTAGGGGGAGGGCGGGGAAGGGCCTCAGTATGGATAGGGGTTGGATTTTCTCCCATGTGTGTTTGGATATCCCCTCTGTGAGGGCAGGTGGCTGAAGCGGGCAGTCAGAGCTCTGATGTTGGGACTGTACTACCTGGGCTGCCTGTCCTGTGCTGGCTTCTCTCTTGAGGGCTTGGGATCCTTTTGGCCTCTCTGCCCCAGAGTCCTCACCTGAGACGCAGGGATATGGGGACAGCACAGGAGCCTGCTGACAGGTTTTGCAGAGTGTGTTACCTGAGGTCAGGCTCATGGGCTCAGGAAGGGCGAATGGATGGGGCTTTGAGGTGAGGGCTCAGCTGCCAGGCTGAAAGAGGAGGAGCATGCAGCAGCTTCCTGGGACAGCTGGTTGGTGATGGGGGACTGCAGTGCTCTGCGGGAGGTGGGCACAGCTGAGCAGAAGCAAGTTTGGGGCAAAGAATGATGCCATCAGAGGGGTCCATCATGTCACCTTCTCTGTCTCCCTCAGGAGACTCCTTCCCATTGTACCTCCTCCTCCGGTCACCTTAAATGTGATGCTCCCAGGGCTCAACACTTGGCTATCTCCACCCCTCCCCCTGTGACAGCTCAGGGTGTCATCTGTCCCCCTGCTCCATCTTTTAGTTCAAGAGGTGTCCACTGCAGCCACAGGTCCAAACCTGGGGTTAGTCTCGGTGGCTAAGGAGAGACTGCAGATGCAGGCCTGATCCCGAGCTGCTCCAGCCCCTCTGGGTACCGATGCCTCTGCTGTGTCCTATTGGACCCCCAGGAACCAGCTTCCAGCGGGTGATTCCTGAAGATGGGGTGGCAGCGCAGGCCCCTGAGCAGGTACGGCGGCTCATCTTCTGCACGGGAAAGGTGTACTACGACCTGGTGAAGGAGCGGAGCAGCCAGGGTCTGGAGGAGAAGGTGGCCATCACGCGCCTGGAGCAGGTACTCCTGAGCCCCTTGCACAGTCAAGTGATGGGGAAGCTCACATCGCTAGCCCTGACTCTGTGCAGCGTGCCATGCAGGCCAGGTGAAGGCCAGTGATGCCTTGTGGCTCCTGTCTGGGGGTGCTGGGGACATACCGCCCCTCCTCTGGCTATGCTCCTTTGTTCCTGCCTTCCTGCCTCCCCAGATCTCTCCGTTCCCCTTCGACCTGATCAAGCAGGAGGCAGAGAAGTACCCACGTGCGGAGCTGGCCTGGTGTCAGGAGGAGCACAAGAACATGGGCTACTATGACTACATCAGCCCACGCTTCACGACCACCCTGAGGCGCACGCGGCCCATATGGTACCTGGCGGGGCTGCTGCCTGCCCCCCTCCTCTGCCCTGAGGCGAGGCTCCGCCTGTCTCATGGGCTGTGCCACCAGAACTGGCCCCTGCCCTTTTCTGGGCTGCATTTGGAAACCAAGGAGTTCGCCCCATAGTTCGTGCTGGCTCCATGCACCTTGTCTGTGGTGGGACAGCTTACCCATCAGGGATGGGGCATTGTCATTACTGCGGCCAGAACTGAATTAGGGAACTTACTGCCTGACTCAGAACTCCTGCCTTTGGTCTTAGGCCGGTTATGTAGCCCCTTCATCTCTGGATCTCTACAACAGGACAGTGATAAGATTAGATCTGATGCATGTGTTAGCCTTGGCACAGGGTGGGTGCTCAATACTGGCATCGAGTGTCCCTGGGAAGATGAGGGAGGGGCCTGAGAAACTCCAAGAAGCCGAAAGTGTGTTTCTCCCCAAAGCCTTTGAGTTGTTGCCTTGTTTGTTCTCGTGGGCAGGTGCAGTGACATGGAGGGACAGTTTCTCCCCAGTCTTCTGTGGCTGGGTGACTGAGTTTGACCCAGGCTTCACAGCTTATTGGAAGTGGTGCTAGGGCCAGAAGGCAGGGCCTGTGGCTTCAGGGTCAGCCATTCTCAGATGCATGCCCATGCGGTCCTGGGGTGAAGGTAGTCTGGGGTGGCTAGGCCCTGCCCTTAGCTTGTCTTCCTCCTCCAGGTATGTCGGCCGGGACCCAGCGGCTGCACCAGCCACAGGAAACAGGAACACTCACCTGGTGTCACTGAAGAAGTTTCTGGATACTGCCTTCAATCTCCAGGCCTTTGAGGGCAAGACATTTTAGAGCTGGGCAAGAGCTGTGTGGGTCTTACTGTGGGGTTGTCTGGGGACCAAGGGGGTGATGAAGAGGGGCTGCGGGGTCCCCAGGTGAAACGGACTCAGTGACAGGGCCAGAGAGCCTGCACTGCTGGCTTTGGTGTCATGCCTGGGTCTGAGGGAGCAGAGGAGTCCTATAGGCAGGCTGCTGTGCTGGAGCACCCCCCAGCTGTTCCCACCTTGCTGGAATTTCTTGTGCGGCTTCGCCACCTGTGTCTCAAGACAGACACCCGGGAGGCTGTGTCTGCGGCCACTCCCATCCTGGCAGCCCTAGCTGCCTTCTTCTTGCTCTCGCTCATTTGTAGATTCAAAGCGATGTTCTCTTCTGTGCTCTTAGAAGTAGGGAGTTCAGCAGTAGCAGCCAGGTGACACGAACCTGCTGGGTAACGTGTTTGCGCTCTGTTTTATGGGGCATTCCTGCGAGATGTGTCAGCTTCTGTGTGAAATACAGCCACAGCTTATGTGTACCAAAGTAGAAAACCAAATGACAGAGAAATAAAAAGATGCTTCAGAGACATTTGCTGTTTTCATTTTATGTTGTAAAACTGGGGGAGGGACAGACAATTGAGAGAGGTTAGGGAATGGGGAGAAAGTTAAAAAATATATGGAGAGAAGAAAATCTCTGCCTCCATGGACAGTTTTTTGAGATGGAGTTTCGCTCTTGTCGCCCAGGCTGGAGTGGAGTGGTTCAATCTCGGCCCACTGCGACGTCCACCTCCCATGTTCAAGTGATTCTCCTGCATCAACCTCCTGAGTAGCTGGGATTACAGGCATGTGCCACCAGGCCCGGCTAATTTTTTTTGTATTATTAGTAGAGATGAGGTTTCACCATGTTGGCCAGGCTGGTCTTAAACTCCTGACCTCAAGTGATCGGCCTGCCTCCGCCTCCCAAAGTGCTGAGATGACAGGTGTGAGCCACCGTGCCAGATTTTCATTTGAGCACCAAGTATTGTCTGTTTTCTTCTCTACTATTGCATTTTATTGGTTTTACTTTCCTGTGGAGATGCTGGAGAAGCTGCCACAGAGGAGGGCTGTTTTGCTTGGAACAGATTATTTGTTCATTTATCCCCTTCTCAGAGCACTTCCTCCATGCTGGACACCGGAGCCCGGGTGGAAGTCGTCTGTCTGCGTGCTGGCTCTTTGCATCAGGAGTCCAGTGGGGAGATGTCAGCTGTTTAATTCACTGAGTTATGAGTTATGTTGTCGGTCAGCACAGATGGCTGTGGCTGTCAGGGAAGATCCCTGGAAGAGGTGGTGTTTGAAGGAAGAGGAAAAGAGAGATGAACCTCTCTAGAACAGGCCCAGAAATACTGACCATGGGGCTGGCATGGGCAACCCAGAGGAACAATCGGCGTGAGGTTGGATGGTGGAGTATTAAGTTTCTTCAGCCTCAAAAATAGCTTGTTGAAAAATTAGCCAGGCATGGTGACACACGCCTGTAGTCAGTCAGCTGGGCATGGTGACACATGTCTGTAATCCCAGCTACTCAGGAGGCTGAGGCAGGAGAATTGCTTGAACCCAGGAGGCGGAGGTTGCAGTGAGCCGAGATTGTGCCACTGTACTCCAGCCTGGGCGACAGAGTGACTTTGTCTCAAAAAACAAAAAAAGCTTGTTGAGATATACTTTGAATCCTACCACAGGGGCATTCAAAGTGACATAAAGTAAAAAGAATTGTAGCCCCTATTTATAGTGTGTCTGCCGTGTCTCGGGCCTTCTGCTGGATGTTTTTGTGTGTATAATTGAATGCTGTCTAATCGTCATCATGACTTTGCATGTTGGGAATATGTCTGTATTATAGATGAGGAAATTGAGGTTCATATAAAGTTATTTGCCCAAGGTCACTTGCTAAGGAAGGGGTGGATTTGGACTTCGCTTCTGTCCACAAGACCCCACTGCTTCCCTTGGGAAATAAGCTCTTCCCATGCCATGCATTCCTGGCCCCACAGAGATCTACTAGTCTGGGCTTTCCCTGGGATTGGCTGAAGCAGCAGCTGGTGAGGCACCTGGGCTGTGCGGGAACCCTTGGGCATCAGAGGGTGGATATGGCCTGCCCGAGATGTATACTGTCCCTTCCTCGGCGTGAGTGCAGGAAGGCTGCAGATGGGCTGGGGGGCACCTCCCGTAGGAAGAAGTACAATTAGTCAGGCATAGTGGCTTCTAGCTATAGTCCCAGTTACTTGAGAGACTGATGCAGGAGGATAATTTGAGCCCAGGAATTTAAGACTAGCCTAGCAAGACCCTGTCTCTTTAGGAAAAAAAAAAAAAAAAAAAAAAAAAAAAGAAAGAGGTGCGACCATCAGATCACCAAATTGGGAAAGCCAAACACATAAAAAAGGGCACCAAACCCTATGAACATAAGAACTAACCTGGGAAATAAAACAAGCAGAAGGCTTTAAATGAACTCTAGTAACTTCAGAGGGCAAGGAGAATATTGCCACTACGAAACAATAACAGACTTTAAAAAATAATGAGACGTGTAGAAAGTATGAAATTTTGTCAAAATTAAAACTTCAATATGGAGGCTAAATAGCAGAACAGACATAGCTGAAATATTTTAAGTTTGAAGATAAGGCCAAGGAATTCTCCCAAGAAATAGAACAAAGAACAAAGATATATTTTTTAGAATTCTGTAAAGAAGTATGGAGAACATAGGAATTTCACGGTGCTGATATGCATCTAACGGGAATCCCAGGAGGAAAAGACATGGAGAATTCTTGTGATGGAATATCTCTGTCTCTTGACTGTACCAATGTCACTGTATCCTGGTTGTGACTCTCCTCGATTGTTGCAAGATGTTATTATTGGAGAAAAATGGGTAAAGGCTCTCTGTGATATAGTTCTTATAACTGCATGTAAGTTTACAGTGATATCAAATACAAAAGTTTAATTAAAAATGAGTCTTTTGCTCCCTGTTGAGTTGTGTCCCTTACATAATCTGGAAACAAGTCTTTTGTTGCATGTGTTTTGCAAATATCATCAGTCTGGCATGTATTTTAAATTTCTCTGAGGGTGAAAGATTTTTATTTTTGTGAAATTCAATTTATCGTTTTTATTTGTCTGTTTGGGTTGCTGTGACATAATACCATAAACTGGGTGGCTTGTAAACAACAAACATTGATTAATATTTCTCACAGTTCTGCAGGCTATGAAATCTAAGATCAAGGTACCGGCAGACTTGGTATTTGGTGAGGGCCTGTTCTCCTCAGAGATGGTGCCTTCTTGCTGTGTCCTCACATGGTAGAAGGGGCAAACAAGCCTGCCCCTGGACCTCTCTTAAAAAAAAATTATTTGATTTTTTAAAAATTTCAATAGGTTTCTGGGGAGCAGGTGGTGTTTGGTTACATGAATAAGTTCTTTAGTGGTGATTTCTGAGATTTTGACGCACCTATCACCTGAGCAGTGTACACTAACCAATGTGTAATCTTCTATTCCTCACCCTCCTCCCACCCTTTCTCCCGAGTCCCCAGAGTCCCTTGTATCATTCTTTATTCTTTTTTTCCTAACTCACTCTGTTGCCCAGGCTGGAGTGCAGTGATGCAATCTCAGCTCACTGCAACCTCCACCTCCCAGGTTCAAGTGATTCTCCCGCCTCGGTCTCCTGAGTAGCTGGGATTGGTGTGTACCACCATACAAAATAATTTTTGTATTTTTAGTAGAGATGGGGCCCAGCTGGTCTTGAACTCCTGATCTCAAGTGATCTGCCCACCTTGGCCTCCCAAAGTGCTGGGATTACAGGTGTGAGCCTGTAATGTATTCTGCCTATATTATTATTTTTGCCTTACTGCACTGGCTAGGATCTCCTGGAATATGTTGAACAGAAGTTGTAAGAAGTTGCCTATTCTTAGAGAAAAGCATTTAGTCTTTCATCATTAAGTATGATGTTAACTGCTCTCATTAAGTATGATGTTAACCACTCTTTTGTGACCATCACCGAAGTGGGAGCGGCCAAAATGAAGTTCGATCAATTTGTGACTTCCGACCGAAGCAAGAATCGCAAAAGGCATTTCAATGCACCTTCCCACATTCGCAGGAAGATTATGTCTTCCCCTTTTTCCAAAGAGCTGAGGCAGAAGTACAATGTGTGATCCATGCCCATCCGAAAGGATGATGAAGTTCAGATTGTACGAGGACACTATAAAGGTCAACAGATTGGCAAAGTAGTCCAGGTTTACAGGAAGAAATATGTAATCTACATTGAACGGGTGCAGCGGGAAAAGGCTAATGGCACAACTGTCCATTAGGCATTCACCCCGGCAAGGTGGTTATCATTAGGCTAAAACTGGACAAAGACCACAAAAAGATCCTTGAACGGAAAGCCAAACCTCGCCAAGTAGGAAAGGAAAAGGGCAAATATAAGGAAGAAGCAATTGAGAAGATGCAGGAATAAAGTGATCTTACATACAAGCATTGATTAAAACTTGAAACGAGGGAAAAAAAAGTATGATGTTAAACCAAATTTTTTCTTGGATGCTCTTTATCAGGTTAAGCAAAAATTTTCTATTTCTGTTTGCTGAGAGTTTTTATAAGGAGTGGATGTAGGATTTTGATAAATTTGTTTCTTGTCTATTGCGATGAGCATATAGTTTTTCTTTTTAGTCTTTTAATATAGTGGATTACATTGATTGGCTTTTGAATATTAAAAGTACTTTTCGTTCCTGGGATAAACAACATGGTCATAACGTGTTACTTATTTTATGTATTGATAGATTTGGTTTGCTAAAATTTTGACTAAGACTTTTGCATCTATGTTTATGAGAGACATTGTTCTATGGTTTTTTTCTTACAATGTCTCTGTCAAGTTTTGGTATCTGTTAGAAAGCATTCCATCATCTCTTGTTTTCTGGAAGAGATTATGTAGATATGGCATTAATTTTTCTTTAAACATTTGGTAGAATTAACCAGTGAAGCCACCTGGACCTGGAGTTTTCTTTGTGGAAGGGTTTTAAATCATAAATTCAATTAAAAAATTTAGGGCTACTTGTATTATCTGTCTTCTCTTGAGTGAGTTTTTGTGCCTGTTACGAGCTCGATCCTTTGTGTCCACTAAATTCACATGTTGAGGTCCTCACTCCCAGCGTCTCAGAATGTGGCCGTATTTAGAGATATGGCCTATAAAGGGATAACTAAATGAAAATGAGGTTATTAACATAGGCCCAAATCCAAAACGACTGGGATTCTTAGAAGAAAAGAAGATTAGGACACAAACATACACAGAGGAAAGACCACGTGAACATGAATACATAGAGAGAGGACAGCCATCTGCAGACCAAGAAGAGAGGCCTCAGAAGAGAGCAACCTTGCTGACACCTTGATCTCAGACTTCTAGTCTTTGGAATTTGAGAAATTGTGAGGAATTATGTGGTACTTTGTTATGGTAGCCCTAGGAAACTAATACAGAATCTTTCAAGGAATTTTTCCATTTCAGTAAGTTGTTGAATTCATTAGCGTGGAATTGTTGACAGTCAGGCTCTGGTAATGGCTCTTCTTTCATTTCTGCTTTTGGCACTTTGTGTCT